TTAATTGATTTTTGCACCGTTTCATAATTATAACGATTCATCCCCTATCCGCCACCTGGGGTCGCGCCACGTAGCCTCGCCACCAACCGGCTCGAGATCTTTCAGTGAGAGAGGACCCTCAGTGAAAGAGATCCGTGGTGGAGTAGGACACAAATTATAGCCGGTTTTCGTGTCGCACTCCGGTCATCCGTAAAGAATTCATAAGGGAATCTTTGGCTAAGTCTAAACTTTGTCACGAAGGAGCAAGAAAACCTGTGAACTAGCCGTTTGAAACAGCATGGCATGGCGGCCTCACAGCAAGTTACCACGTGTGGATTAGATCCCACGAAATGGCGATACCCTCCTTGAATGGGTGTTTTTCTACCGGCCGTAGCCTCCTGAGCAAAGAAGATCCATCCATTCTGATACCTCATGACTGGCAAGACAGGAGATGTATCGCGATGCAGATGCCGCTTCAGGCTTCAATCGGTTTGTGGCTCAGTAGAGCTGCTTAAGTCAGAGCGCGAAAAACATAGCTCTTTTCTCTTTCCACTTTGAACTCGAAGAAGGCGACGATGGTGGGCAGGATTCGGGTATAAGTTACTACACGGTGTGCCCTATCTACAGCCTACGTGAACATATTATTTGCTTGAAGGAGCTTGTGGCATGCGATCTAAAAAATATGCACGAACTTTTGAGACCATTTAGTAGTTTCGAGATGAGGTCATGTCTTCACCGTTCCAATAATTTGTTGCATTCAGTTGTTTTGTGACACCACAAAAAATACTGCATTCAGAGTGAGAAATGAGAGAGAGAGAAAATGAGTGAGAGCTTTAGAAAATCAAAAAAAAACTTTTCGCGCTCGCACGTTTTTCAGAATTCAACCTGTATGTGTATGAAAGCAAGATGCATCATATCCAGCTCGCAGTACGCGTGCAGCGCATAAATTATTATATTTAGATCATTCAACGGATGTCCCTAGAGTTTGCAACTCAGCAGGAACATGGTAGCACTTTCGCGCACCGTAAGGTCAGATTCCCCTTGCACAAACATGCTGGAGCAAGTAAAAAAGGAATTACGTTCAGAGCCACGTCTTTTCTCACTCCATATTTTCATGGTCGATTGTGGCTATCGCAGTTATGATCGTATTCCTCTGCTTCTTTATCCGCATACTATTTGTGATTAGGTAAGTGATCTTGATTTTGATGCGGATGTTTCTGTGCGCGTCTGTCAGAGCAGATTCGAGATAAGCAGACATCGAAGAACTGTTTGGAAGGAACTTGTACATATGGGAAAGACTGATTTTAGTAGATCAGGGAAAGAAGTTTCGGAAGAAAACAAGCAGCAAAAATTAGCGCTCGAGTTAAGCCCAGATCTGTGAAGTGGTTCCAGGTCACGACAGTATAAAACGCTCCGAGCAGCTTTACGCAACCTTCAGATAAACACACTTCTGGTCACCGGTCATAAAACTGCGTTGTAAATAGCGAACCTAGTCCAAGAATCTTCTCTTTGAATTAAGGTTTTGCAGCTCGGATCAATATTAATTATTACAAATATGTGGTTTCAGGGCACGCAGTCGTGGTAGGCAAAACACAACCGAGAAAGCAAGCTCCGAATCCTCTCCCAGGCCAATGACAGTTCGCATGCCGATTCTGTGCGCTCTGATTTTAGCCGCCCTCACAGCGCTCATAGCACTGCTTTATTTGTGAGTTACTATCTATCCTTCTATTATATAACCGCTAACTTGGTGTGTCGGTCTGTATGTGTGTATGTATGTATGTATGTGTGTCCGTCCGCAAAATGAAGTGAGTGAGAAGGAAGCTCATGGGATAAACAAACCGCTAACAAATCGGGTAGCTCGCAGGAGTTGAGCTCTCAGTGTTTATTCTTCATTGTGGTAGCATCCTTAACGTGCATATAAGCACTTTCTGAGCACCCTCTCGGGCATTCCATGTGGTATTTCAGTGGGCTGGAGGGCAGAGAAGGGAGGAGGGAGGATGTGGAGGAAGAGGAGACCAACTGACAATTGTGCTAAGGTTCAGCTGAGGTCATTCCATCGTCGCTCAATGATTGTGATGCTTTCTACTGTGTAAGGCACTTCTTTGTGCATACACGTTCCCTCTACGAAATGTTGGTGTCACAACTGCAAGGAAACACAGTGGAGGTGTAAAGCATACGCAAGGAGCGGTGATATCGGCGGTTGCCGGGGACTAATCTGGTGAAAATATATACTGTAGGCCAGAATTACGGTAATGAGATCAATTCATCAACCCAACCCACACGAAACCCAATGTGATCGAAAGGCCCGAGATTAACAACACCATAATGTTGGAAATGGATCAAACAAGAGGCAATCATACTCTTTGGAGTGGCCGTTTTTCTGCGGTGATACATAAACGAACACTCCCTCGAAAGCTGTTGATCCTGTTGTGAAGGTAGGTGTTGTCGAGTAGGTCCAAGGCACAAAAGCCACTGGTCAACTGATTGATGTTCTGATCATGTTTATAGCGCCAGTTCGTCTCCAGATAGAGCTCATTATAGAGCATTTCATTGGGCTCAAGGAAGTTATGTTGCTAGTTCTCCAATATGATGAATTACACGATATTCAGTTGGCTTAGATTTCTTGACAATCTGCGCATCGTTTCTGAGCGCGCAATCTTGCTGTGATGTCCTGTGGTTCCTGATGGAGGCGCTCTTGTTCTTACCCTGAGGCATCAGCTGAGACTGTAGGGTCCGACATGATTATTATTATCATTCAGTTTCATGTCTTGATAAGCAAAGGTTCATTCCTGGTGATATAATTTCTACGAAAGCATCACTGACCTGCAAGTGGACCAATGCTGGCTTTTCACCAGCATTGGTCCGCTTGCAGGTTTATTAGCATCTCTGCTTTTTATTCGTTTGCGCGCATCGGCTGATCGTTAAGTAATCCTATGCTTGTGAACCGTCTTAGTAAGATGATTGTATACATTGTATTGCAAGGAAGTGTGCAACAATTTCAGCGACCAAACGAACGATCGAGCGTGCTGGGTTCTAGTGCTTTTTTGTGCGTATCTTCAAGATTTGGTTTGGGATTCTCAGAGGGAATCCTAGAGGGTCAAGGCTTATTTGCGCTTGTAGATAGCCTATTGAATTAATGGAGAGTTGAGTTTCGTGGTTTTTTTCTGCATGCATGTAGCGCAATCAAACAGCTCGTCTAACAAGGTAGTGATTGCTTCTCGAAAAGGTAAAGGGGTGTTTCGGAATTGATATGTTTCATGAGACTAAATCGAAGATGGAATGCTGAAATAAATACGTAGAATATACAGCAAAGTTCTCGGTGATTAAAATCAAAAATTGCTAACGGCACGCTCTTGTCACCTCATTTTTCAAACGGCTCTTGAATCACTTCGAGCGTAACAAGGCACCCCTTCAGGTATACGATCAACTAAAGGGGAGATTTTGAGTTTTCTGAAAAGTTCACGCGGTATCGGGTTACGGGCATATTCTGGTTAGGAAGTGCACGGCAAAGATGTAAGGCTCTGTCTCTACCTGCTGCAGTGGACTTGAATTTACGCTCGCGAAGCATTAGTTGACGTACTGGTGACCTCTTGACCCCATAAATTTCTCGTCTGTTTTCTGGTGTCGGCCTCCGCTTGTCATAGCACACGTGACTGCTGAAAAAAGTCACATTTTCGAGGTTCCTAATGGTTGCTCTTTTGAATATTAGGTTGTTGGGAGAGCCTTTGCGCATTTGGCAACTTTTTTTCAAAATTGTTTTCTTCTTTAGTGCAGCCAACAATTGTTGAATACATACACCACCATAATCGTCGAAACATTGCTCTTCAGCAGGCAACTTCAGGTTGCCGGCCGTTCAGAAATCCCGAGTCTTTGGGGCGAAAAGCTCAAAGAGGTTGACTCCGAGTAGGTCCGGATCATCGAACTGCCCCTATTTCAGTACCTTCGACGGCAACAGAAGCGTATGGTAGCCTGTCTCTACCAGGTTTGCTGTACACACTAAGTGGGTCAGATCATTCCATAACGAGCTTGGAGACTTTTCCTGAACCTTCTTCGTAATTCGTGGGCGAGCGTTGCCGACATAAAGTAAAGTTTCTCAGATTTTCCGGGCACCATGCCGGGAAACCAATCCACTTGCTAACATTATTGTTCACCAATAGCAGTGGACTTCGTTGGCAGCAGCTCTCCGTGAGCGAAACATTTGCAGCCTCATGAGCTTTCAATGTTGCCTCCCAGGTTACTGTTCTCGAATCGGCGTAGCAATCCTTTGTTCTACGCATCCGAGCCAGTCGTGCTTTCGCGTGCGGTTTATGTGAGGATCCCACTTGCTACCACCAACGAACAAGCGAGAGACAGGCGGCAAATCAAAATGTCCATGCAAAATTTTATGGTCTTAATAGCCTGTGGTCAGTCAGATCACAAAATATCCTTTCGCCATAATTTCACTTCTTTTAGAGGCGATATTGAGGAACGGCCATTGTGCTCTGTAGCACTGAAAAAGCTCCGCCAGTTATCGTGCGTTGCACCAAGGACTCCCTCCAATCGACTTCAGAATACACTCGTCACTGAGGGTGGCAGGCCGACCAGATTTGATTTTTCTCAAGTATCTGGACTTCGGCAACCAAATAATTGGCATATTGTGAAAGATAGTCTGGAGGTCCATCACAACACGTAGCCTCCTACTGCTTCGCTTCAATCGACGCATTTGTGGGCTTATAAAGGCAGGAGCAGTCGAACATACCTTCAGTGAAAGGCGATTTTTAAGCTTCAAACGCTGCGAAATGCTACGACAGAAATGCTGTGGAGAGAGCATTAACCACTGCTCACATGCGTCCAGCAGAGCATGTTTCAAAAGATTTTGCAAGATGAACAAGAGAATGCGCAAGGACTTGTCCGATACAAAACAGACAGTAGGCATGTTGCGAGCGAATACTTCTTCTCATTCCTAAACTTAACGTCTGAATCCACCTGTCAATATGAAATCTGTTTTTGCAAAATTCAGATGGGGAATTCATGAAGGTTATATGGTTATGTGTCACAAGAAGGCATCCGCTGAGCAACCTCTTCCTACGAGCAATATAAGTCTGGCTAATGATACAAAGTACACTATTTACATCGAGTGAGTCATGTTAGAATTGATTAACATTGAGTACTAAGCGTTCTAGCTGCTCAAATGGAAACGTGTAGATCACCGGTACAACGACTATCTCTATGCAACGACTGCTGTTATGCTATTCACTACGCTTCTTGTATTAGCGACCGGTGTGCCTGAGACCTGCTCTGAGATGTAGATGTTACCAAAGCAGGTCTCAGGCACAGCTCGACTACCCCTGCATCATTTCTAGCAGGTGACCATTTTATCGTAGAATCCGCCTTTGAGAGGAATTGACACATTTCACACAAGCAATCATTTGGCGAACTTTCTGGCTGTGTGTAGAAAGGGGACGGCCTCTCCGACCGAAAACCGACCTGTACCACCTAAAGGACCCCACATCTTATTGCAAGGTTGCTTTCAATAAACAGCTGCAGCTTTACAAGATCGTACACCTTCATTTAAAGCACTTGCCACATATTTTTGCCAAAAAATGCACTCGATCGAAATTCGACAAACAACGAATTTCAGCGCAACTTCCTCAATAACTCCATGTTGCGCTTGCAAGTGATAGCATCATGTCTCAGAACAATCGTTGCTGATGCGTAGCTCACTTAAACCAGTGGTGGCCGAGAAGCTTCCTGGATACTCATATCGCTTTTGAAAAACAACCTCGAACCTCTCAACAAAATGGTGAAATGCTTATTTCATAGGGCCAAGCCATGATGAAAACAACACACTTCGCGTGATCAAATAGAAGGCCTAACATCGTGATAATAGAGTTAAATGAGCAAACGCACATTCGAATCTGGGTCGGTCTAAAAAGGGCAGAAGCATTCCGGTGGAACTCTTTTTTTCCTTCACTCCGCTCTACACAGAGCGCAGCCCTTCTCGACTTTCTCTAGATCCCGTAGCAAAACGGTAAGGCACAAAGCAGTATGCACGAACGATGCCAGGTGTCCTTGGAATTCGTCACTGCACAAAATGGACACAAATTAGCGGCGTATTATGCTTTTTTATCCATACCTGTTTCTTCCCCACTGCCGCACCAATCACCACATAAGTTTCGCATACCTTCACCATCCGAACTAGCGGCCCACTCGTTTAATGATATGCAGCCGTTGCACAGCTGCCGCCAATAATTCAGATTAATTTAAGAAAATTCTTGCAAAGATGCGAGCAAGACTTCAATTTCATCGAAGCATTTGGAACACCGTTATTTTTGGACGACAATCTTATGAGTGATTACGGTGTGGTGAGCTTTCCAATAGTACAACTAACCTTTGCATTCCTGCTTCACTGAATTTGAGATGCTGCAGAATCTGAGTAAAGAGGAGGCAGAAGGCGGAATTACGGACGATATTTTGAAGCAGAATGTAGAGAAATATGTAAAGAATGCAGTTGCTCTACAGAACACAGCTAATGTCAGTTACAGTCTTAGATTCGTTTTCGAACAGGCGCATCCTGACCCGTAGTTTCCTCTTCTGGGAGTCCCTCGACAGCTGTCAAGGAGGTGCTTAAAAGGCTCATTCCATCTTTTTCAGGAAACTTACAAATACTTTGAGAAAGTTGTTAATGGTATGTCATTTCACATAGTATCGAGCTCACATTATAAACTCACATTTCTTCACAGATACATTCAACCCACGAGGAGCTGCCGCCATACAACCAAAGTACAAGGAATTGTGTGTCATTCCATCTAGGGTAAACGCTATCCCTGATCGTAATGTTTATTAATTCACTCGTCAATATTACATGAGTACAGATTTCCCGTAGCTTCTCTGCAGTTAAGCTAATAAGTTATTGATTGGTGAATTTCTAAAGTAGACACTGTCTGGACAATACACATTTTTTTTGTAATTTCGATCGATCGAATCGATGTTACTGTTGCAGCAATGCCAACGAAATATAGCAAAGGTACTTTCTTGCAAATTGGCGGCTAATTATTATGCATTGAAGTTCTTAATGCATCATGTCATCATTCTAAGAAAGAAGTCGTTCCGTTTCCTGAAATACCTCTCTAGTTTTTCTTTAACGATTACGAATGACATTTATGAGGGCAAGCATACAAGGATCTCAAAGGATAGAAATCGAAAATAACAAAGCAATCCTGTTCGCATTTTGGTCGGCTGTTTCCCGCATTGTCTCTCAGCGCTCCAATGTCTGCTCTCCTCGGGGACTTGTCGACTGCTGGTACAGGAGTGGGTTCTCATGTCGGGTATTCCAGAACAATGTTTTACTATTTTTCGTCTGACGGTCCACTTCCGTCAAACCCACTATGGAGCGCGACCACCGCACAAATCTGTTGCTGTGATTTCAGTTATAAGTAACAGCTTCGACACTGTAACGAAGTAGGTGCAACTTACAACGCTTGGGCTTCATGCTCTGTCAAACAATCATATACTCTGTATTCATCTGTACTCACCTCCATGTTTTCCTGCCGCATTTGAGTTTACCTAATTGAATTTTGCATTTCTTTTTCTTTTAGTCCGTAAGTAATGGCAAAAGCAAAACCGCTGTCATACTTACAGGAAAGGTCACGAAAATGTTTTACTCATGTTCCAGACGTGAATTATTATGAGTGCTCTGGAAGATAGGTCACTCGACTTGGTAAATTTGTAAGTAATCTCTCATGATAGGGCGCTTATTCCGGTAGGATAGCAATCAGGGCTGCACACAGTATCATGCCCTGTAGTGTCCTTTTTCGGCATTGTTCGTGATAGAGTGTCCCTGACCAATTTCTAGCGTGATCAGACACTTCGGCAACTCTTATTCCTCTTTTGTTTAGATTTTCCTTTTGTGGAAGTTTGGCAGCGGTTTTGTTTCTGCCATCAGGCGAGGGTGCTGCACAATTGATGCAGAATTGGTGCAAAACCAATTTTTGCGACTTCATCAGCTTTAAACAATGGCAAGTCAGCACTTCAGATTTGAATTCGATGGATTATACGGTCGGATCAATTCTGGATCATAAGACTTGCATAAAAGTTCTTAATTTTAAGGATTTGTTGAAGGAACCGCTCCAGATTAGGTAAGATGAGCCGCACGCACCATACTGCGTACCACAGGTTCCTCGATGCTTCTCGAGGTCCGTGTTATCATGAAAAAAGGAATTTCGGGAGTTTGGCGACTATCTACGATTCAGGATGGAACTGTGAACGTTACTGCATTTTTGGTTTCTCAGAATTGTGGCATGCTAATTCTAGGCAACTCGAAGTCGCTGTCGGCATAATTTTGGCGCACCCTATAGAGCCGTGCCTTTCTCGCTACAAATTTGCCGTTGATAAATGCAAAACCTATAATAGTAACTAGTGCGGGAATAGCATAAAAATAGCAGATTTTTTGTAGCAGCGGCTGCTATTCAACCCATACAACATGGAGCCCTGGCAGAATGAACAGAACACTCCATATGTGAGACGATTACCTTTTTTACCTCTTCCATCGGGTTGAAATGGAGATTTGGTGCAAAAGCGAAACCTCTTATCTTCACAACTGCTACTGCGTCTTACGAAACCACACGAATCTTAGGAAAAGTGAGTCAGGAAGGGAAACAGGTGCTCCACTGCTCCCGTTTCCATCGTAGTCTTCCTGCTCGTTTACTGAAATTGGCTACAAAATGTAACAACATCATCTAAGGATTCGGAACAATTGATTTTCTTTTTCGTCAGAGAGCCTAGCAAGGCATATAGCACCTCTTCCTTTATTTTTGTGCACGCTACACACTTAAGTTGTTCTTAAATGTGTCTTCAAATTATGACTCACCTCAACTTAATTTCCAATTTTAGCTGATTCCAAAAAACAACACACAGTTCCTCGAAAATTTTAAGGAGGAAGTTGAACAGTTGGACAAACGAAAACCTCCTATATTCCGTCAAAGGGTGCTCAAAGCTTTAGTGAGTCTTGCCTATCACGTTTAATTTCAAATAATTTCTAAATTTTGACAGAATCCTGCTGTACTGGTGCTGATAAACTTTATTAGTGTTGTTCGACAATAACCGTTGCTTTATCTTAACTCTTTCTGTGGAGAATGTACTCGTATTCTTCCGAATCCGCTCTCGGCTATTTTAGATATGAGGTGTAACCTACACTTTACCCACGAGATAGGCATATCGCGTGAGTAGACGTGCAGAAGTAAGTTGAGCCAATTGGCAAGGGTAGGGGCTTCGCTGACTTTGAATGTTAACGACACTCGGCGAGACGGCGTCTGAGTTGTCGATTAAGGGGATAAGTTGCAGTGGCGCAATATTTTCTGTCCAGTTAACACATAACGGCAAACTGGTATTACATGGGCATAGTAAAACTGCTGTGACCATCAAGACGGTCAATGACTGCGCAAAGTATTTTGACGGACTAAGCTTTGAAGTGAAGTGCGCGACACGATGAGCCTCAAAGGAAGCTAGGAGGGGCCTCATAAGAAATTAATCAGTTTCACGTCAGAATGTTGTAGATAGGGAAATGTGGCCGACTAGAACCCATTACCTAAGTGGGATTGACCTAGGACGAGAAAAGGGAAGAAGAGGATCCAATCCTATCTGCTGGTAAACAGTGGACAAAGTGGAGGCAAACCCGTTTTGTCCTGGTTTCAAAAAGGATCCATCCTCAGAGTAAAAACTAACATGTTGGCAGGCACCCAACGTCCACTGTGATTCCAACCCTAGTCCTAAAATAAAATATGGCTGTTAGTAATAAACTAATAAAATAATGGTAATATTTAAAAATTAATTATATCACTTCATTATATAAACCGCAACTTTGGTGT